TGATCTTCCGGCCATTAGACTTGAAAATTTTGCTAACTTCTTGTTTTGTTTTTTAATTTCTTTAGGTGTAGCTTTGCATACTGCTAGCCCATCGTCACGGTAAAGGCCCACTCGATCTTTAACCTTTGCCGCAATCAGGGATAACATATACGCTCCGATTAGTTCGCATATCTCGGCTCCATCATAGGAGCCCATCGTCACGTCGAACATGTCGGTGGCGCTCGTCTTTGCCCATGGTATGTTCTGGTGGTACAACAGTGATTTTTTTGCATGTATGATAATATGGCGGTCTTGTGGGCTGATGGATGGGAACTGGAATGCATAGTTTTGTTTCGAAAGGGTCTGGTAGTCCTCTCTGGTCAGGTGCATAAAATACTGGTTCACTAACGATCCTTTTGTAAGTTGGTGGTTCAAGCATGCCTTATCAAGTATTTAGTTGAGTGCCGGCACGCACTCGCCAGTTCATTCCTTTTGTTTAGGGTGCCCGCCCCTGTTCTGCATATGATGAAGAATTTTTCTGTTATGCAAAGATTGCATCTCTTTGTTGTATTCGAGTACGGCCTGAAACTCCGTTTCAGCATCCTTTAGGGACCAGATATATTTGCTCAACTCTGTTGCGTTCCTTTTGTTCTCATTTCTAAATGAAGCTGTATGGTTTCTAAATCTTGTTTTAAATTGGTTCGCAGTAAGGCTGAAGTACGTTTGGGTTCCCAAGAGACTTTCAACTGTGGCCTGGTAGACCACATTTTGAATTAGGCAATTGCCACATAGCGGACAAGAGTGCTTGTCTCTACAATTGCATGATTTTTCTTGTGATTGAGAATTATTTGCGAGGGAGGACTTGTTGCGGGCGTTGATTTTTCTTTCCAAATTTGGCATGCATGAATAGCTCACTTTCAAAGTGTTCCTGTTAAAAATTTTTCTTAGCGGGTGCCCTGGTGTAAACGATTCTTTTACGATGCGTAAAAATTTTCTTCCCACGTTAGTAGCAACGTTCTTACTAAAAATGGGTTATACTAAGTTATATTACGGTGTCTTCTTCTCCCTTCTGTACTCCTCTGGTCTTAAGTTGTTGCGTCAAATTTTAATTGGTGATTATAGCCACTTGCTTCTAACGCTTGCTGATACATGGGTGTTGCTTTGTCGAAGGATACCCTGTCTGATGAGATTTCCCTAAGCCTTTTATTGATCGCCAGGGGAATGTTCTTTAGGATGGAAGGTGGATGATTGCTATCTCGGTGCACATACAGAGGTGCGTTGTTAGGCTTTGAATATGGCTCATGAGATCCTTTGTTTGGGTTCAAAGTGACATCAAGAAAGTTGACCACTTTTTTGTTTGCTTCGATAGTTATTTTCAAGCCATTGGTGCTGAACACTTTGCAAATATCTTTTTTAATTTTTTCGATCCTTCTCGGTGTTTGCTGGAATGCGCCCAGGCTGTCATCCCTGTATAAGCCTATTTGTTTTCTGATGTCTTCTGGTGGTTGGTTTAGTAAGTACGATCCCACTAGTTCACAGGTTTCCGCACCGTCATACGAGCCCATTGTAACATCAGATGAAGTTGTTGAATGCTTCTTGTTCCACGGGGTGTTGTTGTTGAATAGAAGTGATTGATTGGTGTGAAAAATAATTCTTCTATATATATAAATATCTTATTAACCAAGCGCGTGGGCCGTATTGGGAGAATATCGGCCCGAGGTCTTGACAGTACGGACTTCGCTGCGCTCGGTCCGTACAAAAAAGACCAAGGGCCGATATTCTTCCAAAGGTCCCGAGCAAGCTTGTTTAATAAGAGATTTATTATACGACTGAAGTCAAAGGGGCACAAGTGCGGTATCATCGGGACCATTCGGGACAGTGCCCGGTCCAATACTGAGAGAATATTGACCGGCAATAGAGCATTTTGATGGGTTAATTTTAGTTATTGGCCCTCTGACTGCCCGAGTCGTGTAATAAATATATATATATATATGTATATATAAATAGCCTACTTCGATTAAACTTATAGATTATCCACTTTTTAGACTCAAGATTTGTTAGGTAGTCTTTCTATATATACGTTTTTAAATAGGGCAGTCACTTTTATCATGAGCCCATGGTTAGGGAGATCTGGGCGACCACACCCCGTGTACCTAACATAAAATATATTATCCTTATCCTTATGCTCTGCTCAGTAGATCATACTGAGGCGAGTCCGGAGAGCCCGCGTCCAATCTCTTGTGAGATACTGATTCTAATCTTTGTCCAACCAGCCACTACACAGCCCAAAGTTTATGTGATGTTCTTAACATTTTTCTTTAAAGTATCGTTTCCGTTAGTATTTACAGTTTTACAACTTCAAAATTCGTTGGATCAAGATTAATAATAATCGGCTGGTACTAGGAACCATGCATTTTTCAATACCAAACGGTACATAAAACAAGAAGAAGAAGAAGAAAACTTTATTTAACGAGGGTAAACCACATTGATTAGTGGTGACCCAATAGTTTTCATAATGGGCCTCCTACGATTAAAAGTAATAAAACGTATTGATCAAATTAATTAACTATTAGAATAATCTACCAACTAAACTTATATAATGAACGACTAATATAACGATATTAATAATTAACTACTAATAAAACTAGAAGGTTTTACAAATCTTAAAATGATCAATAAAGGAATTCTTATTACAGTAGAAATTAAATAAGTAATTTTTAAAATTTGTATGTGAGAGTGACCTAAGTTTTGGATCAAGAGTGTTCCACAAACGACAAGTGCTTGAGTGAAACGTTCTGAGGCTAGAGTTCCTTTTACAAGCTGGTGTTGTTATATTGTTATTGGAAACTGATCTCGTGTTATAATTATAGGGATTGCTTATATATTCAATGTATTTATTAAAATAAGCGGGGCAATGTCCTTGATTTATTTTATGAAGCATATAAAGCTTCCTAATACGTATAATATCGTCTATAGGCAGCCAATCTAGTTTGTTCAAAAGCTTGACAGAGTTTTCATGAGTATCGGCGTCCAAAATTAGCCTAGCACATCGTTTCCGTAGTCGTAAAACTCTTTGAAGATTCCCGATGGTACAATTACCCCAGACCGTGCAAAAAATACTCTAGAATTGGCTGGATGAGGACAGTATATAACATTTTTCTGCAAGCCAAGATTAAATAAACTTTAGCTCTTTTAAGAAGACAAATTCTAGATGTTCAACTTTTTAATCAAATAGTCAAGATGTAAGTTCCACGAAAGATTTTGGTCAATGACGACTCCAAGCAGCCTCTCTCCCGCTGCCTCTCCCAGCCTGATGCCACCGATATGAATTTCCATTTTGGTCTCATTACTGTGGTTTAGCTTTTATACAGAACCAATTAGCAGGTGTTTCACTCCTCCCTGACTTTAGTTTTTATGGGGTTTAGATATTGCTTGAAAAACCTCGTTTTGAAGAGAAAAGTGTTGTAGAAACGTCGTCAAAAATCATGAATGAGTACAAAGGGAAGCAGAATCGTCTTTATTTGGTACTTAGAATAAGTGTGCTTATGGAAGTTTACGTCAATATTTCTTTGATGATAGAAAACATTAGCCCTTACCATCCAGGTTTTGGGCAAAGGCGCCTATAAACAGCCCACAAAACACTATAAGTACTTTGATTTTGAACTTCTTGTCGTTTTAGTGGAGTTCAGTCGAGAAACGGTCTTTTATAGATAAGGAAGTTTTGGTTTTCTTGAAACACCTGTGCAACTGCTCAAACATTAATTTGGACAAAAAGCACGGTTTAAAACAATGGAAATGATGTGGTTTAATTGTCAGAAAGAACCCGTTAAATGCGAGAATATAAAATTAAACCTATGACATTTCATTTGCTGTAAAAACAAGTTTGGCGGTTTTTCGAGCGGTGTTTAACAGCTACCAAGTATTTCCTTTGGTAGAGAAACCATATCCTGTTCTATGAATGTTCAATTGTTTTAAATGAATAGAACCCGGAAAACGGAGGATCAAGTGTGTGTTTGATATGATTTCAAAAACACTCAGACAAACACCTAAAATCGCCGTCTATTTGACAAGAAATAACATAAATACAAATATAAAAATAGAGGGGATAGTTTTTAAATGTTTTACAATTTCTCACTGACGATTATCAGGAAGCGGTAAAGTTTAAAAAAGTTTTACAACGCACAGAAGAGGAGCAAACAAACCTCTCAAAAAAAAATGCAAAGGTCGTGGTAAATTTATCTATATAGGAACCAAAGTTACAAGGTTAACCCTAAGCATTTCTTTGAGGATAAGTTTTTTGCCACAGGAAATTACAGAATTTGTGCGATGAACCATTTTCTTTTTTGCTTTGATTTGCACAACATATCGTCCATGTTGTCCTACCACAAAAGGTTAATTATTGGCAGACCGTTACTTGTGACTACTTTTTTCACCGTATACCGTTAAATGGTGTGGGGTTCATATGTCGAAAGTCTCGTCGTGCGATGGTTTTTAGGCACCGAGCGATTTTCTCAAAATTTACTTTCATGCGAATGATACTTCCGGAAGCACTCGTTTAACTGCCTTTTCGCAGTTTCCTTGTGACAGTCTTAATTTTTTCACTGTTATTAGCCTCCATTTTGGTGCATAACATAGTTGAACAATTCATTTTTGTTTTCTTTTTAATACTTCCGAAGGGTTTGCATGAAAAATGCGGTCGGTAGGCCCATTCACAAGGTCACTTCTTTCACAATGGCGGGGGAGCTAGAAATACATGAATTCAAATGAATTCGGGGATTTTCTTTTCTTCCCTTTTTTTTTCTTTATTTTATTTATTTATTTTTTTTTTTTTGGCTGATCTGTTCAGTGACTGATTGATTACGTTCAGCGTGGTATTAATGTCTATTCTTGTAATGCTAGCACTTTCCAGCTTCCACGATGAGTTAATTTCAGTAGGATTTTCGTCCACGTGTATTGCGCAGGTATTATGATAAGGTGTCACGGATTTCAGCGTTATTTCTTAAAGACAATATGTACAGCTCTCAAGTTTAATTTGAGTTTATTAAAAGTCGGCACGGATGCACTTAGTCAATTGTATAAAACTTAGGCCTTTTCAGCATTGATATCAACCCTATGATCCATAAAACCCATTAATCTTACCTTTTCATTGGATTTGGCCCCAATTTTTGCAGCCTTGTTATGTTGTTTTCTATAAAGAAGCCTAAAATGACCCTAGAGAGACCTGGGTTATTTTAGACTTTTACGCTCAACTAACCCAGAATAGCATACAAGGCAATATTCTTACTATGTGGAAGATTAATAGGCTCTCCTGCCCAACCCTAATATACTTCATTATTAGCATAGTTCAAATTTTCTTCTTTCTCTTTACTTCCTTTTAATTACATAACCGTTTTTACAAATTGCGTTGAACTGGACATTGTGCCCTCTTGGTTAATGTTACTTAATGATACATTCTAAAAATGCTCAAAAGAACCAACGAGCTGAAGCCGACAGTAACAGAATGGATGCAAAAAAACTAAATAATTTTGTTTTGGTCGACCATGCATTGTCATTATATTCTTAGATTTTTTCAGCGAATGAAGTATTTAACTGAGAGATTTAAATATGTTTTTTTCTGATTATGGTACTTTACTTTTCTTACTCATTCAATGACCTTAGATTTTGTGCCCTCTCTAACTCAGAATTGAAAATCGGGAAATCAAAGAAAAACTTTTTAAAATAATCCTCAACATTTATAAAGTAGTACACAAGATAACACATTTAATATCAGTTCAGTCACAGTTTCGCAAAACAGTAGTTTCTTTCACCAAATTCCTTTAGCTTCCAACTGTCCTTTAAGTCTTGCAAAATAGTCCATGTCTGGCTGACCATTTCTGCAAATTTATTTAGAATCAAAACTGAATAATTATGGAGAGAAAAAATTTCCAAGATTTGACAAAAAGTTGCTGAAAAGTACCTTAAAATCCAAAGAAAAGCAAAATATAACATGCTATCAAACTTGCCAACACCTTGCAAAAAATTTCGAGTAGAGCAGAAAATGTTTGCATTCGCTGAAGTTCGTTACAACTTAAAAAAATGCATTTGTGGACACTGCCATTCCAGGTCGCTAAATTGCGCTATTGTTTTTATCTTTTGTAATTGCCTCAAGGTTTCTTTTTAATCAAAATTACCTCGCCTTTTCCCAAAACGAAAGAGACAGGGCTGAGGGAATAACTGAGTCCCACTTACCTCAAATAACTTTCAGCTGTAGTTTTCAATTCCAATCCATCCAGCACCACCTGACCGGACTCGTTAGCAGCAGTTTGTGAAACAGTAAAAACTAATCGAGCGTCAAAAGCTTTTCGAAGTAATTTCAGAAGTTGCTTCCCCTCCTGTGTGTCAGGAAAGTAGGCCACGCATGATATGCCCTTGTATGATCTGCCTGGGTTTGGGTGTTCCGGGCTTTGAAGTCCACCATAAAAAGTGAAAGTTACAACAAATGTGCCATAATCTTCGAAACCAGGAAGACCTTCCGCATACTTTTTCCACATGATTTGCCCAGGGGGCTGGTTGCCTTGGGGGCTGACTGATTTGTAGGCGCTATTGAGATGTTCCACGAGTGGGATTGAGTTGGATGTGGAAGGATGAGTGTCTATGTGAAACGAAAAAGGGAATGAATAGATTGAAAGAGATATTAGTAAATATAAAGATCAAACGGAAAAATGGACATAGGCCGGGACATATTCATAACAATTAAATGGAAACTGTAACGAGAAAATATTTAAACCTGTGAATTAATCAATATATTCCATAGAAAAGAGACTGAAAAATGAATGACAGCGGCCTTGTTTGGTCCATTACTATATTCTGATAATCAAACAATGCATCTTTCTTATTTAATTCTCTTACTCACCTTGAGTATCAAGGTTAGATCTACGTCTTTGCGTTGTAATGTCAACTCTTTTGGGATTTATGAAGCCATGTGCATCCGTGCAAGCGGGATAGTCATCACTAAATGAGAAAGCTCTCTGGGTACAGTCTTCGCAGAACTTGTGCTCTTCACAAGTGTTTGAATTTTGGGGGGTTATTTGATCCACCGCTTTTTGACAGAGAGCGCAAAGGACGCGGGCGCTTTGCACCTTTGCAGTTTCTGCTGAAACTAAGAAACAGATATATGCATAATTAGATTAGAACTTAGAACACGTGACGACGTGTGAGTAAATATTTTTCCTCTTAAGATAACTCAAGATGGTTTCGTATTTCATCACGCTTAATTCTTTAATTGTCAACATGAAGACAAATTTTCGTTTGTTTCCTTTAAAATACGATGTAAAAATTGGAAAATAAGTAAACCATTTTGAGGCACCTTAATCATCAATATTTCCATCACTCTTTCTTGAAAATAACAAGTTTTCCAGGCTCGACGCTAAACCAGAGTATTTTCCCAACTTTGCGGCACACCCGATGCGTTTAATATAATGTAACTTGACACAGATGTTTTTTAAATTTTTAATTTTATTTCTACGACCAGCCAAAAGAGTCAGGCCTAAATTTGTCCAGGAAAACTAAAAACAATTACCTACCATTTTTTTCAGGCAGCGTTTGGGAACCGTTTTCGTCGTATTTCGACCCCACTGATGAACTGTTTTTATCTGTTGTTTCCAAAATATCAGGAGTTCCAAGTCCCATGTTTGATGCAAGGATGTTTTCGTCTTTCCCTCTGGAATTGTGCGGCATATTGGCATTGTTTTGAACGTCATTTGAGCGCGGAATGCTTCGTGCAGATGAATAATTTTCGTCGTGTAAATCAGGCAAATAGCTTTTTTCGTGTTTCTCCTGGTCTTCTGTTTTCGTTGCATTCTCCTCATCGTCATGTAAAAGTGTTAATCCTTGGTCACCCAGGTGAAGATCGGCATTCATAAGGGCCTCAATAGTGGGCGACATGAAACCCTCTAATACTCTGCCATCATTATGAAGAGAAGACGAGTTTGAACTCTTTCGAATTATTGTGTTTTTGCCCATTGATAATGCAGGTAGTTTTTGTCTTCTGTTGCGCTGACTGTGGTGTTGTCCTAGTTCTTCTTGTCCACGTAACGGGTCGACAGCCGTAGACTGTTGGAGTTGCAGCGAATGTTTCTTTCCAAAATCATGGCTTACATTGACCTTTAATTCAAATTCATCCCTCTGGATTTCCTCTCCCATTTCCCTCTTTAAACTCTTTCCACCAGAAATACTTTTTGAGACATCTTCAAAAAGTTGAACCAAGCGTCTTCCAGACATTGCTCCCAGTATTTCGAACGCTCGAGCTTCCTCTGGCTGAGACGAATCATCTACTTCAATCGTCGTCATTTCATTATCCACAGCGGCTAGCCCTTCAATTGGTTTAATCGCGAATGAAGATGTGAGAATTTTCTCTTTGGGTGAAACCATGTGGGTTGTTTCAATTTCTTTCTCTGGCACTGAATCTGATCTAGAACTACTCGGAAAAGTGGCACCTTGACAAGGTATCTCCTTCGGCGTAGAGGATTCGTGTTCTATGCATCCATTGCCACTTGTCTCGGTGTTTTCATTTGCTACTGCTTCGTTATCTTTGTAAAGCTTCTGTCTGGTCACAAAATGTTTTTTTTGTTCATGTGGCAAAGAAAATTCTTCCAATTCTTTGGCAAATACACTGAAAATGGCGTCATCTTCACACACAATGTGGATATCAGTAACACCACTGTGCAATGGGCCAATGCCTCTACTAAACTTAGCAACGACACGAGTGATCACCTCTGCTGATACATGGTCTGGGATGGGATTCCACTCTTGCCCTAATGGGGGGAAAGCGACCGATCTGTGCCTGTGTCCTGATGCCAACAGCAGTCCGGTTTTAAGACATGCATGGATTTGGCGCTTTAGTTTTGTCTTATCCTCGTTATCGTCGGTCCATAGGGGCACAATAGCATGAAGGAGAGCTTTGCAAGGTAAATTACCACTATTGGTGACATGCACCTCACCATATTTCAGCGTATTTTGTCCTTGAGTTATCATAAGGCATTCATCTTTTACAGGTCTACCCCCTCTCTCTTGAATCTGCCATGACATTCCTTCTTTGTAACAAAGCGATGGTTTAGCAGGACATATAAGAACGTCTACATCGTGGCTTGTCACGTCTCCTTTAAGCAACATGACGGTGATACCAGTTTCTGTAGAAAACTTAATATGGCCGTTTTTCATCAAACTTGATGAGGACTTCAGATCTTCAATGCTTTCATCTGAATTTGGGCTCTCTGATTCTGGGCTGGCTTTTTCTTCGCATATTTCATTTTGCTGTGGCGCTTCAATCGAACTTTTTTCGTCTTTGGGTGTATTTCCTACGGCTTCTCCTCTATCACCCAGAGAAGTATTTTCCTTCTCTTTGACATTCCTGAGCCTGCTGTTCTCATCCACACGTTGCTTTTTCGGGAGAGATTCACAAGGTTTCGTTTCGTCTAGAGTTTGATGGCTGCTTTTACTTTCTGTGCCATGAGAAAATAAAGCGGACTGTAAGGCTGAATCCGTTTTAGAGACAGGCAACAAGGTAGCACTTTTAATTTCCATACAGAGGTTTCCCTTCAGTGAAGATGATTCTTTTGTTTTGGGTCCACTTCCACATCTTCTATTACTTTGATACGGGACTGTTTTGTTCTCAGCCTCCACGAAATATGGCTGTTGTGTGTCTGGAAGTGAAAGTCCTTTCAGTTCTTTGGCAAATACACTGAAAGTGGCGTCATCCTCACACACTATCGGGAATTCACTAACTCCACTGTGCAATGAGCCAACGCTTCTGCAAAACGCAGCAATGACACGAGTGATCACCTCTGCTGACGCATGAACTGGAATGGGATTCCACTCTTGTCCTAATGGCGGAAATGCAACCGATCTGTGTCCTGATACCAAAGTCAGCCCATGTTTTAGACAACCGTGAATTTCGCGCTTCACCTCTTTCTTGTCCTCCTTATCGCTGGACCAATAGGGAAGAATAGCATGAAGGACAACTTTGCAAGGCAAGTTACCACCATCAGTGAAAAATGCATCGCCAATTTTCAGCGCGTTTTGGCCTTGTGTAATCCTCTGGCATTCATCTTTTAACGATTGACCCCCTTTCTCTTGAATCTCTTTTGACAGCCCCTCTTGGTAACAGAGTGATGGGTCAGCAGGGCAAATAAGAACGTCTACATTATGGCTCGTTATGTCTCCTTTGAGCAACATGACGGTGATACCAGTTTTCGTGGAGAACCTAGTATGGTTGTTCCTCATCAAATTTGTTGAGGACTCTTGCTCTTTCATTTGTTCATCTGATTTTGGGCTCTTTGATTGTGGGTAAGCTTTTTCCCTAGAGAAATCCTTTTGGTGTGGCGCTTCAATAAAGTTTTTTTCGCCGTTGGAGTGATTTTTGACAGCTTCTTCTTCATTCTCCAGAAAAGTATTTTCCCTCTCATTGCCCCTCCCGAGCCTACTGAAATCATCACCATCGTGATTTTGATGATCGATTCCACTCTCTGTGCCATGATTAAGTGAGACTGGCTGTGGGGATGAATCCGTTTCGGAGGCAGGTACCAAAATAGCACTTTGTTTTTCCTGAACGGGTGTTCGTTTTACCGAAGAGAAATCGTCTTTTTTGCGACCACTGCCGCTGATTCTAGTGCTTTGAGATGCCACTGCTTTGTTCTCTGACTCCAGGATCATGAAACATGGTCCCTGTTTGTCTCGAAATGAGAATTCTTTCAATTCTTTGGCAAACACACCGAAAGTGGCGTCCTCTTCGCATAGTATATGAAAATCAGTTACTCCACTGTGCAATGAATCAGCTCCTTTGCTACACACAGCAATGACACGGGTGATTATCTTTGCTGACACACACACTGGAATGGGATTCCATTCTTGTCCTAATGGGGGAAAAGCAGCCGATCTGTGTCTTTGATCAGATGCCAAAGTCAGCGCATATTTTAGACAAACGTGGATTTGGTGCTGCACTTCTTTCTTCTCCTCCTGATCGTCGGTCCATCGGGGAAGAATAGCATGAAGGATAGCTTTGCAAGGTAAATTGCCACCTCTAGTAAAATATGCCTCACCAAATTTTGGCATTTCCTGGCCTTGAGTGATCCTATGGCAATCATCTTTTACAGATCTACCCCCTTTCTCTTGAATCTCCTTTGACAGCCCTTCTTGGTAACAGAGTGATGGGTTGGCAGGGCAAATAAGAACGTCTACATTATGGCTCGTTATGTCTCCCTTAAGCAGCAAGACGGTGATACCAGTTTCCGTGGAGAACTTAATATGGTTGCCCTTCGTCAAACCTGTCGAGGACTCCGGTTCTCGTATGTTTTCATCCGGACTTTTTGGACTGTTTGATAGCGGATGAGTTTGTCTCTCACAGAGTTCATTTCGCTGTGGCGCCTCAATCATACCGTTTTCCTCATTGCGGCGATTTCTTACGGCTTTTCGTCCATTGTCTTGAGAAGGGTTTCCGTTCTCTCTGACTATCCTTTGCCCATTGTTATTTTCTTCGTGAGCGTTTTTCGGGAGAGTTTCGAATGGGTTTGTTTCCTCTTGATTTTTATGTTTGCTCCCAATCGGTATGCCACGGGAAAATGAAGCTAGCCGTAAGGCTGACCCCACAGCATCACTAGAAACCTCCTTCGTAACTAGTCCTGCACTATCTGTTCTATTATTTGGGTCCTCGACGATAGTTTTCTTCTCTGCATAGGATTCAGAGGTCTCTAGATCAGTTTCCTCGCTATTTTTTGGAAATGATACGTCTTGGATGGGGGCTTCACCTTGGGTATCGATACGTTTGTCAACAGTACTAGGCTGGAAATTGTTATTAGGCAGTCTTTTGCCCTCTTTGTGTTTTCCTTTGATATCAATGTCTGCTAGACGTGTATCACTTTGTGCCATCATATTTGGAATTCCAGGGTCTCTAAACGTTTCTGCTCCTTCCCTGCTTGACCTTTGTTCCTTTACTCCTAGAATTTGAGAATTTTTAAATTCATTTTCAAGTTTCCTAGCTTCATCTGTTTTCTTTTTGCTCCCCGCTGTCGCTATTAAATCTTCTGCTTGATATCTATCACTGCTTTGGAATTCTGACTTCTCTGACTTATGTTTCTGCTTTCTGCTGAGTGTGCTCTCAGCGCCTGAGAATTCGAACGAAGGTACGACGGAACCATCAATAAATGACTCCAGGTGTACTGATTTGTCCCCTCCATTGTATGTCTCCTTGCTGTTTACCATGTTCATCCGGTGATTCAATCCTCGTCCTTGAGAATCCCTCATGTTTGCCTTCCCTGTCAAGTTGCTGTCAATGCTGGGGTTCTTTCGGCCGATGGCTGGCTTAGTTAAATTTGTCTCAATTTGGGGAGGCTGTCCCATAGCCTTCGGATCGCCAAACACTGACCTTTTGCAGTCTGTTTGCACAGTTTCCCTCTTTCTCTGATGAGTTTTGATCGGTTTAGTTTTCTGTAACAAGCTGTGGACTTTTGTAATTTGCTCAAATGTTCCAGACACCACAAAGCCGTCAAATATCGTTTGCCACTCTACCCCTGTTTCGTCTTTGATTGATTGTAGAATTTCTTCCAAGCTGGAGAAACTCAAACCTAATGATTGTGGATTGAGACGGCCGGCCACTTTGCCAAACACCTTAAAAGCATTGTAATGCAGGCAGTAGGTCAGGAGTTATTCGTATATTGACATATTACAAAGCTGTGCGATACATTGTGAATTCATTAATCAATATTCATTACTGGTTCACCGTTGATAACCGACTAGACAAATAAACGGTTTCTTCAGCCTGTACAAATGTTTTGTTGATCCACTAGGAAGCTGGTTTGTATAAGGCTGCAAAAACGTTGTTTTTCATTTTCCTAAAATTTGATTTGTTTCTTTAAATAAGCAATTGTTATTACATCCTAGTCAAGCTTCTTCCTTGACTGGAAAAAAAGATGCAATTAAGAGAAAAAAATAGTGCGATTCGTAAATAAATCGCACCAATGAGAGCCAATCAGATCAATTAAGAAAGCTATACTGTAAGTATAACGAGGGAATGTGGTTATCTTTACCATTAGCATGGACTTCCGAGTTATCTGCCTTACCCGCAATATTGTGCTCCAATTTGGTTGTTACGGCATGCATACTATTTTAGATCTAATATGCGTAAAATACCTGGTTTGATGTTTGAACATTTCGTTCCACTGTGACCTGGACACCATCTATGTTGTGTGCCCTTTTCAAAACAGATTCCGCAACTGAAAGGGATTAAAGAGGGTAAGAATCTGAATGAACTGTTGTGCTACGTCGATGAAGGGCATTACGAGAAAATTTGGTTTCGTCAGCTAAGTTGATAATATAAATTAGCCACCATAGAGAATTTCAATAGCTCAGTTTTCGAGCGTTAGCCCTTCGTCAGAGCAAATAATAGTGAACATAGTCTCTTTCGAACCGACCAGCCACCATCCCCCTCCCCCCTCCTTATCGGCCCTCTTTTTAATCTCATTGCTTAAAACGTCTGAGCAATAACAGTTAAACAGTTAGTAATGTAGTTAGCCAAACACACAAAGCAATATTGAAAACACTACGAAATTCGTATTAATTTCGACATTCTCTTGACTTTTAGAATATCTTGAATTTCTGGGCGGTTATGTTCATTGTAGCAAACATGTTTCCAGATAAGTTATATCTTCCATGCTTTATATTTTTATTTTCTGAGAGAGCGTGAAATGTACTTTTGTCTCATGACTGCGTGACACCTTTTGTGGCGATATTTCCAATTGTTTCTTATGTATGTAAATTCTGTCATGCACGGTGTTTGTAGTGAACCTGAATATTTCCCTAGCTGGTTCTAAGCAGGAAGATCATTCCCTTTCTATAAGTTACCTTCCTTCATGAAGGAATCGGATAAAGTTTCTTATGGGGCTATTATTTTTAGCTGCACTTGCGCCTCTCGCCTCAATACATGCAAGTTCGTTTTTGTTAAAAATACTCCTAAGAAGCCGAAAGATTTCACGAATTGCTACTGTATAAGGGAATAATCACTTCCAAGGACCTTATTAGCGCTGAAAGAGTTGGGACTTTCCCACGGAAAATTTGTAGCGTTTGTCTCGAAGTTCGTTTTCAAGAACTTCCGTCTTTGTTCCTACCTCTTCCCACCGAAGGCAATAACGATGGGATCTATTGCCCTTTAAAATGACAAGAAATCTTAAAACGTAAATGTATCATAGATACCCACTCTGAGTAAAGAAACGGTATTTTTGAACAAGTGACTTCAAGTTTTTTATAGCCAACCGAACCATTTCGATCGACAGCTAATCTCCGTCAGTTCCCCCCTTCGCTCCTACTGAAGGCACTAAATATGGCGTTTATTGCCCCTGAATTGACTAGAACTTTCAAACTCTTTGTATCATACAACAACAAACATATACGTCTTTGTATCATACCAACTCTGAGTAAAGAAACTGTATTTTGGAGCAAATGAGTTTTCGATAGCTAACCGAACCCTTTCGCTATGGATCGACAATTAATCTCCGTGAAGGTATTGCAGTTTTAAAAATAAAGCTGATAAGGTTTGATGCTAACCGAAATGAGATTGAAAATTAATAGATCTAACCAACCTTCGTCTTTGTCAAATGTAACAACTGCAACACCTTCGCTTAGTAAGCGAACATCGTCAACTTCGCCTCCACCATTTTTTCGCCGCTGAAAGTAAATGATTATCGCCTCCTTGCTTGTCGAGGGCGATAGGTTTTTAACCAAGACACTTCTGTTAGCGGTACTTGTATCTCCAGCCTGTGGATTGCGTTGCCCATCGACGAAAACCTGCTTCGCTGCCATGTCGGATTGGTGCCTAACGAAAGGAACAGAAGTTATGACTATTTTCACTTGTTTTCCCCTGCACGCTTTCCAAGAATTTTTGATTCCAGTTCGCTGAAACTTCCGCAATAAAGAATCGTGTAAGGGCTGGGTAAGACCTTGACGGGGAGAGGGAAAAATGATTTGTCACTAATCTCAGCATTTGGTTGACGCTTCCTTTAAATTTTAAATGTAATGCCAATTGCTTTGACTAGGTTAGTTGATATTCAGTTTATGTACAAAGGAAATCACTGTTATTTATCTATCTAAGTCGTAATTTTATGAAGCTAGCAATAACTTACTTTACCCCTAGTCCCCTAAAAGTGACATGCATGACAGGCAGTGACATCATCGAAACATCCTGTCGGGGGTTTTCCCGACGATTTCTAAGAATCGGCATTGTCGACAAATTTCGCTTTCGCCTAATGCGGAAATCGGAAAGGTTATTTTCGGTTTTTAAAGCGTGGAAAGATTAAGTCAAACCGTTCTAAACACAACGAAAACCGGATCTTGCATGTCTGAGGTATTGTTAGAGAAATCCTATTGTACGAATGAACGAAATATTTCCAATCACCCAAACAATCTCGAGGTTGATTTATCATCATTGTTAATTACAAAGAAGGCAAGGCAGTATTGCAGAAATTTTCCAATGGTTTATGTGATATCACATTAAAGTTGCAAAGAAATTACATTTTCCTTTTCAAATAGTCTAATTTAAGGGACAAACATAGTTAGTTTTATCCCATCCAGCTCCAGTCTACCGTGCAGGTTACTTACGTGACAGGCGGTGACATCATCGCTACCCTTAGTCGGAAATTAACATCACACGGATTCTTGGAATTCGCGCTTGCGAGAAGTTTCTGTTACGCACGATACGGAACAAATCCGTCTCACATTTACCTCTCCAAGTGTAGTTACACATGCCTTCGTGAAAATGAACGAAGGTCGGATTTTATACTTTCGAGCTCTCGCTAGAAAGGTATCCAAGAACGAATTAATGATATATTTCCAATCACGTAAACAATCCGGAGGTGGAGATATATGCTCGGTGGAAATATATCGAAGAAAGCGACGGTAAGTTGGAATTTTATTCACTTAGTTCACGAAGTTAACCATAACTGTAATAAGTATTATGTTTAAAGAAGTTTGGATTAAAAGTAAATCGCTCTAAGTTCATGATTCCATACCCGCTCGTCTTAGTGTAACTTTTCCTATCAAATGTTTCCAGATGTCGTCGAATTCAGATCTTTTAAACAGCACCTCACACGTGCATCAGGAGGGCCAGGACAAAGAAACGTCTATGATGTTATAGATTTGATAATTTAAATCATATATAATGAGGCCTTTCAAAATCCAAAGCATAAGTATATCCCGACTGTCTGGGTCATGCGTGACATGGATCTTTCATGTCTTCACCAGCAGGCGCTCTTGTTTAATTGTGACTTGGCGGTCGGCCAAGTGTGTTTTAACTTCTCGTGAAATATCAATGATTATTTTGAAAGTTTTGCACGAATCATGTATGATTATTGTAAAGGGAACTTAATAGTGTTTAAAAACCCCATTTATTTCAATTTGATTTTACCAATAAGCTTTTTCTGTGACTCTCCGAGAATATAAACAACAGTGAACAATTTCGAATAATAAACAGTCCTGATGAGTGTTATCCAGCCCACGGTGATGAGGGTGTCATTTAAGAATGCATGTTCCTTTGTGTCCCGCTCTGTATCCAAATCAGATTTGTTCTTAACCCACCACCCTCTCTCATAAATAATGCCACCTTCTGTAGCAAACCATGTAACCTAGATAGTCCATATGATGCACGATCTTCGCAGTAGAGAGCGCTATTTATGCAATAGCGAAAATCAGACCTGAAAAAAATCAGGCCTGTACGGGATTCGAACCACTAACCTATGCGACAAAAGAGGACCGACAGTTATCGCGCGATAATAATAAATATTATCGCGCGATAATAATAAAAATTATCGCGCGATAATTTCCATTTATCGCGCGATAATCTATCATTTATCGCGCGATACAAAAAATGTGTCATGTCCCTTATGGGCCACCGTATAAAACACCCACAATGATTCCCGATTTCCATTGCAGTGAACCGTTCAGACTGAAAGTCATGCGTGACTGAATCTCTTAAAATGTCCTTGAGATACATCATCGCTCCTGGACGTTTGTTTACTTTCTGGACCAAGCGTTTCAACTTTATACCACAAATTAATGGTCATTATAAAAGTTCCGAAAGGATTCAGATTACGAAGAGACCACTCCATTGTTTAAAACTCCCTTTAATCTTAAACTAATTTTCCCAATAAGCTTTCTGAAATACTACGAGAATATTCGCACAGCAGTGAACAATTTTTTAACAGTGATCGAAAAACAGTCTGTGTTGTTCCATGGCCGAAATCAAACAAGAAATACACTGGATTGTAAACACAACTGGATGGTTTATTCCGCCATCAAGAAAGCACACCACAAGAACACTTGCATGAAATCGAGGCATGGTATCGTAGGGTACCCAACACTACACAGTCTCTATGAATGTTATATCCTCAGTGACAAACGGGTCGTTTAAGACATATCTATGCTCCTCTGTCTGCCGCTCTGTATCTAAATTATAATTTTTCTTACCTTACCATGCCTCCATAGATTCTGACACCCTCTCCAGCAAGCCACGTCGCCTGAAAACTCTTATTTGCAATGCAAATGATGGATGAGTGATCCTAATGCCTCTCTACTGTTGTAGAATTAAAAGCTGTTTAGTCTATGAATGTTATGTTTCATGAACTGTTGAAAGGGTGATTAAAATAACTGCACAATTAACATGAGATGCGCCATAGTCAATCACTTCCCTGTTCTCCTCTTGGTGTTATGTTTAACCACTTATTCCATTCATTGTAATCATCGTCCAACCATTGGTCGTACATTTCCATCAGTGAATGCACTTAGCCGTTTAACTTTCGGCCAGTTTCCTCATAAATCACCTTTAATTTACAGCATGCATTTTAATTGGTGTGTTCTTTGTTCACTGTGTTCAGTTATTCATTTCCTGTTTCTGACTCGTTTTGCAGTTGCAAAGAGTGTCTTAAGAAGAGCGTCACATATTATAAATGGGACAAAAGTGGAAGTTTCATACCATACATTCACTGAGGAGTTCCAGTCAGAGGACCAATCAGTTGAACAGGTCAGATCCTCGGCTGAACCTTTGAGCAGTTCACCGAGTCTTATGTCGCATGTCGGGACATGCACGGCTGAGTCAAAGATTCCCTTTTTAATTTTCAGACGCTCGACTCACTTGTATAGGACAATGCTTCGAATTCATAAATCATATTTGATATTTCCAATAAATTTTCCTGTGTAGATTAAGCGTCACCCATTGTTCATAGTGTTCAAAGTGTTGAGGGGTTTTTCTTCAAGCCGGTTAATTAACACTGAACACAATGAACACTATGAACACCGCTTATGGGACCTCTCAAGCATGCAAGTAATTTTGTAATTATATTTATAAAATTCCCCTTCTATACATTGTAAACCTTACCAATTCAGTCCATGCTGCTATTAAGGTATTGAATAAACCATTCTTCTTATTCTTCTTCCTCTTCCTACCATCGTTTGTTTGGTGTTTTAGTTTCGCCGTAGTCCCCCCCCCCCTTGAACACTATGCACTCCGCCTATGGGATCTCTCACCGCTGTCTGTGAAGCCTGGGAGCGGGCTCTCGTGTTTGGGGTTCGCCGTAAGGGTCCTCTCCTCAACCCCCCTTTCCCGACACAGCTGCCTATTACACACGGCAGCCGCTTAGGGAAAAAGTTATTGAGACCCTTTTAGCCTATAAACCATAAGATTTCACCTTATCTTCTCAAGCAAGTTTTCTTAGGTTACACTTATCCTCTCTCGCGCTCTTGCAGACCCGCGTTATTATCGTTCGTGGAATGTCTCAACATACAACAGAAGATACTGTTTTGAATTACCTTGAGAACTCAAGGCGTTCTGGAGGTGGGTTTGTAGAAGAAGGGAAAATCGAAGGCAGTGTGGTACGAGTGAGGTTTCAGTCATCTGAAGGTAAATGATTTACAATACTGACCTTTATATAAAACAATACCAAGTTTTCATTCCTGATAGTTGAGAAATTATCAATCGTTTCTGTTTTTAAAAAAAGATAAGTGTAATTACTATTGCTGTTGGATTAAGACTTATAATCTAAGATTTCCTATACACTTACCTGATTTCGTGTTCGCTCTAGTGGCACAACATGTTGTCGAGCACGATAAGCATATCCTTAACGGTGCTACACTAGATGTTAGTCTCGAGCTACCTGAGAGGGCTTAAAGTACAAGAAAAACCATTAAGACAACTGGCCTTGCTGCAAAAAACTACAGAAGACTCGATTACCAACTACTTTGAGAATGAGAAGCATTCTGGGAGTGGAGAGGTAGAAGCCGTGGATTTTCGACCCGAATAAAATGTGGCTTCCTTGACATTCAAAGATGTTGATCGTGAATAACTAAGTTTAGGCTGAATTTTATCTTGAACTCTAATAAGGGCTCCTATTGTCGTGAATAGAAGCCATCATGCAAACATATGTCAGACATATGTCAAACATATGTCAGACATATGTAAAAAATTCTCTCTCGGTTCTATTGCCTTGACATTTTGAACAAATAAAGCATTATTTGTTGATCCAATACCAAATTCTCTGAACAAACATCGTAAACATTGCATGGCAAGCATTCAGGAATTTTACTAAAAGATCTTGGTAGTGAAAGGGTCAACGAACCTGCTGAGCCTCCTTCAAGTTTAAGTTTTTCTTTTCTTCTTCTTCTTTTTCATCATGTTGAATTTTTAAGCGTGGACTATTAACTATAGAAGGTTTCTTGGTTTCTCTCACAGTGGTAATCATTTGCTCCATTTTAAGCTGTAAAAAGTGTGTTGGAACATGGTAAGCACATCCTCGATGGAACCACACTAAATTTCATGCCCATCAACACAGCAACTGACTCGCTCGACAAGTAAGAATGGAAGAATCAAGAACAATAGAGGTTACTGGACTTGCTCCGAAAACAACTGGTGATGCAATTTTGAACTTTTTTTAAAACAAACTACGCACTGGGGGAGGAGAGATAGAAAGTATCGATTATACTCCAGACCGAAGAATTGCTTTTTATCACCTTCACAGCGGTTGAAAGTGAGTGCGAGTAAACTTAATTGTTTGAGCTTACCTTGTTAAAAATGTTCTGTCTTATAATGATAAACATTTGTCACCATTCAAGCTGCGAAAAGTGTCCTGGAACACGGTGAGCATACCCTTGAGGGAGCCACACTGACTGTCACAGCACGTAACACTGCAGTTGAATCATGCAACGAGGACAAAACACAAGAGCCACGAACAATTGAGGTGACTGGACTTGCTACGAAAACAACCAAAGACGCTATTCCGAATTTCTTCGAGAACAAGCGAGGGAGAGATAGAGAGCGTCGATTTTAATTCAGACCAAGCAAGGGCTGTAATCACCTTTACCAAAGCCGAAAGTAAGTCTCCAGTAAATTTCATATTCCTAATTTTATCTTAGTGTCGTGTACTAATGCATGCTTGTGTGGCTTCACTTCATTATACGAGGGGGTCCTCTCTTGACTACCATAATATAGGATCACGAGAAATAGCACCATTTTGCAATTATTTTATAAGATTCAGATTAAACTAACCTCTTCGATGGTTTTTTTTTTCTGCCCAATCAAACCGAACGGCCTTACGGCTTGTCTTTGTAATGATTATTACCTGAAAAACAGAAATTGTGCTGATGGTAATTATTTCACAAATTAGTATCCCATACTGTTGTGCGATTTTTTTAATTTTTGCCTAATTTTCTTTTTATTCTCACCTTTGTTTGTGTGTTGGCCTGTTTGACTAAAGTCATCTGCACTTTCTTCTTACCTTAAGGCTCTCTTGGGGTCCTCAGAAAAGGAAACCTTACTTACGATGGAGCGAAACTCACGATTACCCTCAACCAACCCTCAAGGAAACTACCTGTGGACACAAAAAGACTCTTTGTTAAAGGCCTTAGGGAAAAAACTACCTCAGACGCTCTTCAACCTTACATGGTAGTAGAAAGTGGAATAGATGTCCTGACTGGTGAGTTTGAAGGTGAAGCATGAGCAATAGTTACCTTCAATGAAGACTACAGTAAGCTTACATTACTAACAAAACTAACCAGAATGATAACAAGAAGGGATAAATTGTCATATTTCCTCGATAAGCGCCAACGCTCTAATAAGCGCCCATCCCTGAAGCCATGATATCAAGCAAGTGTCCCCCTCAAATAACCACCCCCTCTCCTTCCCCTTCACTCTCTTTTCTCGAAATTAAACGTAGGGATACATCGAAAACTTGTTGTAATTGCCACATCATTTAAGCTTCAACTGTAGCGGAATCAGTACTGGTTAATAGTTTCTTAATAAGCGCCACCCTTCAGGATTAAGCGCCCTCCTTCAAATACGCGCCCCTCCTTTCTAGCCGAAGTTCTTGATGAGCGCCCGGGCGCTTATTCGAGGAAATGCGGTATCCTAATTTAGTAGAAGTGGAGTTTGCATTGTGCTTACATAACTCTGTTGTCCCCATGCGTACCTTTGACAGTGTTTCTTTTGTTAGTATTTTTCATCGAGTGGTAACTCTTTGTAGCCGGTGAATTTAATAATAATGATAATAATAATAATAATAATAAAGTCTTTTTTAAGCACTCTAAACAACAAACGTGTTTAGTTACAATGATATGAACTCAGCAAATATAAAACTAATTAACTAACTAAATTACTAACTGACTGACTAATAAGAGAACAAACATCTATTAACAAAAGTCCTCTTGAAACGTTCAGTTCTGACAAGCGGGAGAATATAATTATGGCGCCTCTTACGTAGCGTAACCATTGGTCGCTCTGGTGGCAAAAGGTCATCTAAAGCTGTTGTAAAATCGCTGTCGGTGATCTTGGCCCACAACTTCTTATCTTTTAGAGTAATAAATTAAATATTTTCAATAGAAAAAAGCTCTTTACAGTAACCAAGCTTAAAAGCTCTCTTAAACAGCCTGTCTATGCGACTCAGATACTTATGATAATACTCGCAGCCCCATACTTCTACAGCATATGTAAATATAGATACAATAAGACTGATAAAAAGAAGATGAATATGATCCGGCGGCAGTCCATAGAATTTACAAACACGTAAGATGTACAGACGACTACTGGCTTTCGATATAATATTACCAAAATGTAAATCCCTGTTACACGGATCAGATTGAAAAGTTGCACCCAACAACTTCAGACATGGTTTACGCTCCATAGAAACCAGAGGAGCAGGTAAAGCCTTAGTGGAGTTGCCCCTAAGAAGCATCTCCCACGCTTTCTTGAAGTTTAGTTGCATACGGTTAGCAGATGTCCATGCGACGTTCGATCGGACCTCCTCAGCTGCCGAATTGCCGTTGTTAGCCCGCGGTTTTACTGGAATACTTAATGTTAAATCATCAGCATATTTCACAAGCAAATTCTGATTTGGTAAAATGGCCTTAATATCGTTGACTATAATAGAAAATAGTATAGGGCCTAAAACTGCCCCCTGATTGTAAAAAACCAATATTCCAATTGGTCAAGTATGGATTTATGTCAAGTGTTTTCAACTTAGAGCAGAGGATATCATCAGGGACCGAATCAAAAGCTTTGCTGAAATCAAAAGAGAAAATTGTAACAGAATTAAAAACCGACTCAAGCCATTTCAGCCATGCATATTGACACTTTATTAAGGCCATAGTCGTATTGTGGCCTTTGCCGTATGCAAACTGGTCGAAGCTAATGAAGTTATTCATATATTGAGATAATTCTTCTCTGTATACAAGACGTTCAAAATCCCTCATTATTACATTAGTCAGCGAAATAGGCCGCAACTGTGTGCAATTTTTAAAGTTGGGCTCTTTAGGCAAGGGAGTTATGTCGGCCAACTTCCAAAGATCAGGCACAATGTGGTTTTCCAAAGAACAGTTGAAAATATGGGTAACAACAGGAGCGAGGTCGTACGCAAACTCTWTCCAAAACCAGTACGGGATTCCATCTGAACCAGAGGCAGTTCCTTTTAATTTCAGTAGACTCCTGGTAACACTGGAGACCGTTAAAACAGGCATCTCGCTTGATTCCGGGATAGTGACAGTGTCAATGGGTTTATAACGGGGATCAGTGTTAATGGAACAGAAAAAAATTATTGATCTCACTCGGGGAGATAATTGAGCTTACTTGCGAGTTGGTAAACTTCCTTCCAAATTTCTAAGGCTCTTGCTGTTACGGCCTGATCTTTTGAAATTAATGGGCTCGGTTACAATCTTTAAATCCTGTTTTCAAATAGGACAAATAACACTACACTAGTATACGATCGCACGATCAAAGTGATATTGATCTGATATGCAATTTTAAATTATCTAAATAACAGTTTGACTGCTCTAAGAGTCCTAGTGTATTCCTAAGATGCTAATTTCATGTCTCGTTTTGAAGTAATTTAAAGATTTTTGCTCTTGATTTTTATAGATTACAAATCTGATACAGAGAGAATTTCCATAAAACCACTGGAAGGCAAAACCTCAGAAGTGGAGCAACTTCCGGTTTGTCACTGTGTGCAAGTATCAGGTTTCAACAATGAAACAACCACTAAGGGTTCTTGTCATTGGTGATATGTGTACTGAAAAGGTGAGTCACATTATGTTCTTCGAATTAAAGTGATTCCAGTCAGATAGATTAAAGGTAATGCTACCGAATATTTAACTATTAAGACCTTCGATTAACGTAAAGAACTAGGAGGCCTTTCATTTAATAGTTCCACGTTCAAATTTATCACGTAAAAGCCCTTATACATGTGGTCATAACAGTCGGTTCTTGAAAATTTCCAAATTAATCAAGCATCCTCAATTTGGGATTTGCATAAAGCATAAAGCTTTTATCCGGCCGCTTTAAACAGCCCGAGTCCACCACAGGAGCTATGTCGGCGAAATTTCTATCGGTTGTTAATGAACTGAATTTATATTTCGCTGGTTTTCTTCAGGTTGATGTTATCGTCAACTCAACCTCGTTGGATCTGGATCTTAGTACGAACGCAGGTGCTAAGACCCTACCTGCTGTTGCTGATCCCAAGCTACAACAAGAGTGTAACACGATTGGTAAGGTACGTAGATACCGGAAGGATTGCGGTTACGAGCGAAGCAAATCTGGCGTGTAAGCACGTTTTTCACACTTCATATGCCGGATGGGAGAACGGAGCGGGCGAGAAGGTAAGCACAAATATGTGCTTGCAATGAAAATAGACGAGGCCCATGACCATGCAAACAAATTCCAACAAGTTCTAAGCGAAAAACAAAACAGGAATGATATTGCAAAACGCCTTCAAACCGTTTCTGAGTTAACAAATTCACTATCGCTAATATTATCTGAAAGGTACAAGTAAGGTGAAGATTACACATCTCATCTATAAATACTTCAGAATATCATCAAGAAGTGGCTCGAAGAAGCTCAAAGGAGGAGTCTCTTGACTTTCCATACCTGTAATTGGGACTAGGAATCTCAATTTTCCCCTCGATCGTGTGGCTGCAGCTTCCTTTCATGAAGTTTTATCCTTCAGTAAGAAATATCTAAGCAGCTCTTTGAAGGCAGTCCATTTGGTCGTGTATGATAACGATTCGCAATCAGTGCAAGCCTTCCAGACGGAACTGAAAAAAAGAGGTGGTGTAGGCCCACTCCCACAGCAGTCGCCAGCTGGAATAAAGAGACGTCGGGGTCTGCGTAGTGGTAGCACCAAAAGACCCTATATCGATACGCCACATGCTGATGTCGATGTTACCTCGGAGGAAAAGCCTGTAATTTTGGATCCCTTACAACCTGAAATAGGTATTGACAATGTTGTCGTTCAAGCTAAGAGTGGTAACATCACCAAAGAAGTAACCGATGCAATTGCAACCCAGTCGAACAGCGAGCTCGATGTTGCATTGCGCAAGACGTCTCCTGTTACCATCGTCAAGATGGAAAGGGTGCAACACCCTGGGCTGTACCGGCAATACATGGTTAGAAGGGACCAGATGGAACATAAGAGTAGCAGCAACGAAAAGCTACTTTTCCATGGAACAGCTGGAGCCAGCCTCCCAACCGTCAGCAAACACGGTTTCAAAAGAAACTACTGCGACAAAAATGGTAATGATATCGATAAAGTTGATTGTTATTGAAAGTTGTATACTTACATGAATTTTCTACATGGTATACCTCGGAGGCTCTGGAAAAGTTGTAGTGCAATACTATTAATCACCTCAAATTAGCTTTGCAACGATTCGTACTACCATATAAAAATCGAAGGTCATCTGTCAAAAACCTTTCGTTCTCCTTAAAGGGAAATGTTTCTTCAGTGGTTATCCTTGCCGAGTAAATAAAAAATTTATCACCATTTCTTGTCTTCGTTGGTGTCGAATCTACTTTACGACTGACGCGTTTCGAGTGAAATGATTCAGGGAGCTAACTTTTTATTTGAAGACGCGATATTTCACCCTTAGTATTTTCCATAAAGTATACACTTGCGGTGATCACTCAAATTTGAAATTTAAAGGAAGCTATCAAAAAATCCTGTTCTAAACATCCTTTGCAAGAATTAAAAACCAGCAAGAAGAATGGAATTCATTGCATTTCTCTGTTCTTTTCTTGGAAGGAAAGGGTATGTTTGGCCTTAATCTCAAGATATGAAAGGTATTGTAGATATTGAATGTGTTGCAGTGCAATGGAAAATGTATGGAAGTTATTAAGTAGCTCTTTTCTTTTAAATCCATAAATTTCCAAGAAAAACTAAAAATCCAGTTTAGTTGAAACTTCTTGCTGTTCTGAAATGTGAAAAAGGAGAACAATTATAAAGCTACTTTTTTCCAGTGTATCGGAAATGCTGTGGCTATTTAATCATTACCTTCGCATCTAATAAACATGGAAAAATAACACAGAACGCCTATTGAGACTCCAAGTAATAACTTACCCTTCCGAAAGTTGGGTTCAAATCTGTAAAACTTTGATTACGAAAGCTACCAAGTAGCTTCTCACCCACGCCTTCCCTTTTTAATCTCATGGCGATTTCTTTGAATAATTGGCTGAGAAATACAAAAGGGTTTCTAAACTCAGATGATATTTTTCAAAACCAGAGCAGCTGCTGTTGATGGAGCAAGTTCACTCGGTCAAAATTATCACTCTAACTCAAACTCTTTAACTACCGCTCACTCAACATTTCTTCTCTTTAACAAAACCGTGTTTCTCCCACAGCGACAAAATGTTTTACGAATCATTGTCGGAACTGAATTATCCATAAAAAAAAATACATGTCCAAATGACCATCTCCCAGGTTCTTCTTGTTTCTTTATTTTGAAGCTCAAATGAGCCCATGGCAATGTATGTGGCACAAAAAAAAGCTATAGAAACTGAAATTGCAATGGTTTTTACTTACTGGTCTTTACACACTCCTTGCCGAAATCGGTTACAATTCCCGGAAACTTGAGTCATATCAATTTGTGGAGGAGTAGGGTTTGGTATGGCCGTAATAAAGAGGCGGAAATACCATTTTCTCTTTTATACTAGTTAATCAATATCATGAAATATTTTAACTGGTTTATGTAATATTTTATTTTTGTAGTGAAGAAATGAATATTATTCGTCCAAATAACATTACATTAAAGACGAAAACAGGTAATCTTAATTACCCCTACTCCATGCCCCTGAACGGTTACATGTGTCACTGTTGATGACATCATCGATATGCTTTTCCGGGCCTTTAAATTAGCGACGAGCTCTCAGACTGTTGAGCGGTGTCGTCGAGCAGTTTCGGTTTCGCATGACGCGGAAATCTTCCGGTTTATGTTTGTTTTCCGACGTGTGGAAAGCAATACCATAGTAAACATGGACGAAAGTCGAGTCTTATACGTTCGAGGCATCGATAAAGCAGTATCCAAAGGAGATTTAACAATATATTTCCAATCAAGAAAGCATTCGGGTGGTGGAGATATCAGCTCGGTAGAGTTGAGGGAAGGCGAGGCGGTTATTACATTTGAAGAAAGCTATGGTGCGTTTGACTTTAATGAATTTTTGGCATACCTGTTTCATACGTTTGCTTTCTTTTCCTTGACTTATGTATGTATTTTTGCTTAGAGCTAACAGCATAGAGCACCTTCACTTATGCCAATTTCACTTTTCATTTCGATCTTGACCCCGACAGTTCCAGTTTCTCTTCCAAATGTGACCATATGTCGCCCAATTTAGATCTGTGAAGGAGACCTATGAACTTGTCTCGATAATATTACAATATTAAAGGGGATAAAGACATTTAGGGATGCAAAAAATAGGCAGCAACTATCCTAATTTCTTCACGTTTCCATTCGAACTGCAGTACGACACTTTCACTTTCAAACGCAGTCACGCATGGCCATAAACTTCTTTCCTTATTACTCATAGAGGGAGTAGGGAAATATGGCAAATCGCCAAACATAGAAAAAATCTCTTTTGTAAATACAAATCGAAAAAATTTTCACAAAGACTCCTCAATTTCCAGTCTTGCATCCGTAATATCTACTAATCATATTGTACGTAGTTTATTTGGATTTCGAACATAATAATATCGTTTCTAGGAAAACCGTGTTTTGTTTTCTTAGAATCCTTTTAGTCTTGTCTTGCTTTTGATTGATCCATAAACATTGTGCTCCAAAAGGTATGGAACCTTCTAGTTCCTTGCATTTAGCAGCACTCATATAATTAATAATACAGAATATTACATTTTTTTCTTTTCTGTTTCATTCATTTTTGCCAAACATGATACCTCCAGAAGGAGATTACATAATGTCCATGTAAAATGTCTCTTCGAACTATAAAAGAAAGCTCTCTGATAAAAAAAATTAAACTGAAGTAGCTACTGACGCAAGGACAGTCTCTCAAATACATTTTTACGACATCAAAGAATTGCATCATTTCTTCACTGTCACTTTAACAAGTTTAAACTAAAAGCCCTTCACGTTCATGTCACACCATTTTGCTGCTCTGTCGTGTGTGCGTGTAAGTGTATTATTTTAATGTGCATAAAACTTGCTACCTCGCCTGTAAATGTATGATCAGGATACAGCAAGTACAATTGGCAGTCAAAAGTGACTTTAAATAGATTCGCCTCCTTTTGTTGTTAAGTTGTCATTGTGTTTTTCTTTTGTTGGTTTGTTTGTTGTTATGTTTTGTTTCTCTTGTTATGTTTTTTCTTTCATCCATATTCCTCATGATGAGTCACGCATAAGGAGCCTGCAAAATAAAGCTGTCTTCCGCATTGTAAAGATTGTCACCTTTCAACGAACACCGAACAGTTCCTTATTAAGAAAAAAACGGCTTAACGAACTATTGCATTTTCTAATTTTGCACTCCAACCGGACTGAACACATGAAATGTCAGATAAAAATAAATCCAGCCAATGTTAGTCTAACTAGATCTGCATCATTTCAAATTTTCGAATTTGTTAGATGGTGCTGGCCGATCATGTTTATTTAAAATCTATCGTTCAAGTTATTTTCTTTCTCCCTTGTTCCTTTCTTGCTTCGTCAATTACCCCTTTCTGAGAGAGTGTATTCTCTTAACCTCATACTTAACAATTGTTCGACAATTGATTGGAGTTTATTCTAGGCCGGAGGCGGAGGATTGTTGTAATATACTTTTAGAGCTGCACAGCAGAGAAATCGGTAATCAACGCAGTTTTATTTTCAGTAAAGTGGGTTTATAAAGTGATCTTAATCTGCCATGAACAACAACAAACTTGCTATCTTGTAATTATTCCGTCTTGCTTTCGCGCTGCATGGACACATATTGTCTTGAATTCGTTTTGTCGTGCGAACCATTCTGTGACCATTGATTGTATTCTTTGAAAGGTTACCGGCTTCAAAGTTACGTCTGTAAGCTACATGTACGTCAATCGATGTTGACAATATTGTTATTGTTTATTTTATAGTTTCAAAATAGTAATTAGTTGAACAAAAGATCAGAGGTTTAACTATTAACTCCATATTTGGTTCCGTTTGGTGTTGACCGAGGAGGTGCACTAATTTTATATTCTGAAATTTCTTCAAAGGAAACATTTTTTATATTGACCACCCACAGCGGTGAATATAACTCCATACAAGAAATCTTTCAGTCAATCAGATTACTGGAAACTCGTCGTTCAGCCCTGAAAAAGTGCATTAATCCCTCGATTGATCTCCTATCCATTGATTCATTCATTTGTGCCCTCGTGAGTTACTTATAGCATTGCATGTCTTCCTCGATAACTTTTCTGTTTCCTCTGTGAGTTGCTTTGCTTTTTATGATAATTCTTTTTTCCAATTGTTTGCAGTTGCAAGTAGAGTCTCTGGCAGAGTGCACACCATAAACGGAACAAAAGTCGAAGTATCCCTTTATCCGTTCTCAAGGGACTACCAGTCTCAAAATGTTTTAGCAAATCAGGTTAGATCCAGATATTCCCAATCAAAACGGCCTAGAGTTTCGCTGAAAGAGTAAAGTTTTCATCTTTGATAGGACTAAAAAGTCTTTGATGGCATACAAGTAATGTCTGTGCCTGAGGTAAATTTATTTTTTTCTCGAGTCTATATCTTCCTAAAGACATCAAACAAAGCTTCGAGATTTGAAAAAAAAAAAATCAACAAACTAATAAACAAACAAAGATGCATACATAAAAAAATTAAAAAATTTACTCCGTGGGAATAGGTAAAATGTGTTTCGTAATCCATATTGAGGAATAAGACAAAGAAAACGAAACAAAACAAAGAATCGTTATATAACAATTCACAATTTCAATCAATAAATCAATCAATACTTTAGTTTTCCACGTAGCGTCAAGGAGCTCGTAGAGTTCGTTCAAAATACGTACGTGCCTCTAAGATTAAGAATCAAAAAACACCTAATACATACTATCATTGCCTAATAAATAAAAAATTACAATAACTTAAAATTAACATAAAAATTTAAGTTTGTACAATAAAATTCAGAGTCACTTAAATACAGGTATAATATGGTGAAGCAATAACTTAAATAACTTAAAATTAACATTAAAATCATGTTTGTACAATGAAGTTCAGAGCCACTTAAATACAGGTATAAAATGGTGGAGCAGCTAAAGTTTCAATGTTCGCGATAGCTTCTTAAAAACGTTGATATTATTGGCCTGTTTCACACAAGTAGTTAACCATTCCACAGTTGCGCACACATATAGGTGAAAGATTTTTTCACAAAATTTAAATTAAATTTAGGTGCGCACAAATTAATGCCGGTTCCTCCCAAATTGTACATAGTTTCCCTAAAACTAAAAAATCTCTGATATACTTGGGACCGTCGTTATACAAACATTTATAAAACAGAATAAAGGATTGTTGTTTCCTTCTCTGATCTAACGATTCCATATTCAAGATTCGCAACAATTCTTCATAAAGGGTAGATTTGCAATAAGCTAGCAGTGATCTAAGAATATAATAGTTGGCATCTTCTAGCCGATTCGCTTGCACTTTCCCCACTCCAAGAAAGAGGGGGCAACAGTATTCAAAATGAGGGAGAATGAAAGCTTTATAGAGCCTTAACATAACATTGCTAGGGACAAAACGCCTTATTCTCCTGAGTACGCCACTTTTAGCGTATACCTTTTGAAGCTGTTTAGTAATGTGATCCTTGAAAGATAGCATGCTATCAAGTTCAACGCCAAGTATTTTGATAGATGGCAGTGTCTTAATGACAGAGCTATGTATGGCTATGTATGGCTATGTATGGCTATGTATCACCTATAATGATATTAAGTTATTTAAGTTATTGCTTTACCTCAAAACAGTAGCACAAATTTAACCACGTATCGAATACGAATGAAATCTCATCTGGAAACTCGATTTTTCTCATTAAAAATTGTTTATTTCATCTTTACATGCTCACTTTGGGGGCTGGTTGGCTGCATGTGATGCTTTAATGCATGTGATGCTTTAATGTGACAGCGTGATGCTGTTAGTGAGCTTCTATGCGCTAGCCGATGTTTGGCTGTGTAGCCACGTGATGCGGTTCCAGTCAAAACCCACTAAGTGACCCTTGCTCACCATAGAGTCTCCTGTAGCTCAGTGGTTAGAGCATCCGACTAGATCACGGAGGGTCGTGGGTTCAAATCCCATCTGGAAACTCGATTTTTCTCATTAAAAATTGTTTATTTCATCTTTGAATGAAATCTCGTTTTAAAATGAAATTTTCATCCATTAAAGGATCCTTTTTTAAGTCACACGTACTTTTCGTGGTCTTGCAGGCCCGAGTTGTTGCCATTCGAGGACTATCGCAGAGTACAACTGTACCTACTGTTCTGCATTACTTCGAGGACCCAGAGCAGTCTGGAGGTGGTGCTATAGAAGAAGCAAATATTCACGGAAACTCCGTACTTGTTAAGTTTAAGTCATCTGAAGGTAATTGAATGACAACATCTTACATTCTGCTCTGAACTTTATTTGGACTCTCAGGCTATCATGACCCATTTTGGGCTGCTGGTGTACCCATGCATGTTTTTCATAACGTTATAGACCAGTTACTTGTGTTTTCATTTTTCGGTTTTTATTTTTGTTTTTTTTGCTCCGTTTCGACTAATCTTTTCCCAAGAGATCATCCCTACAATGATGTAAAACTAGTCTCATGTTATTTTCTCAAACACCTCATATTTTGTTACCTAGTGGCACACCGTGTGGTGAAGCAGCACAGCCACTTCCTCGACGGTGCTACCCTTGATGTTAATTTTGAGCTGCTTGATACTGAAGCCTCAGGAAAAATCATCGAGATAACTGGCCTTTCTACAAACAGTAGTGAAGACTCTGTTTGGAACTATTTTGAAAACAAGCGTAATGGAGGTGGAGAAGTAGAGACTGTCGATTTCCGACCTGCGAGAGGGGTGGCTTTCGTGACATTTAAGGATGCTCATGGTAGGTAACTACGCAAGTTTTCTTTTCCGTGTGGAGAAGAAAATCGTGTCCAACGGAAGGCCCCATAGGGTGCTAGAATAATCTCTGTCGAGTCTTTTAGGTGTTTCTTCATAACCAGCGCAGTTTTGAAGTATTGTCTGTATTGAATGCACAGAACTTACCCAACGTACGTCTGTCGTCCGCTCATTTTTATGTATGAGTGGCTATTTGAGTGATAAATTACAAAAATTACAAAATCGCGCAGCCAGAGTAATAACAAAATCACCTTTTGATACGAGCTCCAACCTCCTTCTAGCGAGTAGGAGAAGCTGTCTCTTCGTCGTAAAAAACAGAAAGCTTTAATTATGTTAAAACATTGATTGAACTTGCCCCAGAATATCTTCAATGAAATTTCACTCAACGCCATGTTAATGATTATAACCTAAGAAATCTTGAAGGAAAACTCTCGCTGCCCAAGCCAAGTACTAATTACTTGAAACAAAGCTTTTGTTATGGCGGGGCTTGTTTGTGGAATAACGTGCCCCAAGATTTGAAAAGCGTTGGTTCTATGGGGCAGTTTAAACGCGCGGGGTATTAAGAAGGTACCTGAGACATCGGATTCCCACACGGCGATCATGTAAAACAGTTGTAATAGTTTTAGTTTTACCTTTAGCTTAACTGATGATTCTGCGTGTATAAATAAAGTTTTTCATTACATTTTTGTTTGACCAGTGCTAAGAATGCGAAGAAAAAATCCCATCAAACTTGTAAGAATGCGTTCGTTCATTGATTTAAAAAACCGTTTACTTATTATAGGTTCCAATACCCTCCTATCAGTGAACAGGGTTTTTCCGGCCGAAAGGGGAGGGGCAGACAATTTATAAAGGGTGTAACCATTTAGCTAACGAGGAAAATTATTATCATCATTTTTAGTTGCAAGAAGTGTGTTGCAACACAGTAAGCATACACTTGATGGAGCGACACTGGATGTCAAAGCACCCACCACAGAAACTTTCCTACCCAATCTTGCAATACCGCAGGAGCAACGAGTGATCGAGGTAACGGGGCTTGCTCTGACAACGACCAAAGATGCAATTTGTAACTTCTTTGAGAACAGAAAACGCTCCGGGGGAGGCGATGTCGAAAGCGTTAATCATATCCAAGACCAAGGATTTGCTGTTGTAACATTTGCAACTGCTGACAGTGAGTACAGTAAATATTTGAAGGTTCATCAATCTTACTTTATCACGTATAAATAGTTATTTTATTTCACTTCTGATTAAAACTATATTTTATTTCAATCCAAGTTGCAAAAAGTGTCTTAGAACACGGTGCGCTTCTCCTTGACGGAACCATATTGAATGTCAAGGCCAGAAGTGCAGCGACCGATGTTCCCGGCGGTGGAGAAATACAAGAACTACGCACAATTGAGGTCACTGGACTTGCTCCAACAACAACCAAAGACTCCATTGTGAACTTCTTTGAGAACAGAAAACGCTCCGGGGGAGGAGATATAGAGACCATTGATCATACACCCGAGGGAGGAATTGCATTTATAACTTTTGAAACTGCTGATAGTAAGTACAAGAAAATCCTTGAGCCTTACTTCTCAACGAAACGGTGTGCGAAAAGGTCTTTTTTTGTACCTATCGAGTAATGTTTTTTTTTCCAATATAAGGTGCGGATGGTGTTTTACGACACGGAAAACATACCCTTGATGGAGCCATACTGAACGTTAAAATCATCACGATCAAACATGACTTATCCGATACAGAAACAGACGAGCCACGCACCATTGAGGTGACTGGACTTGCCGTAACTACGACCGAAGATGCCATTATAAACTTTTTCGAGAACAACAAACGTTCCGGGGGAGGCGATGTAGAAAGCGTTCATCTTACTCCAAACCAGGGAATAGCTGTAGTTACTTTCACAATGGCCAAAAGTAAGTACAAAAAACAACCTATCAGTCGCTGGAATCTAACTTATAAACAAATGTCAGTTTTACCGATATTAAAGACGATTTGTTACTTTTTAAGCTGCAAAATGTGTCCTGGAACGCGATAATCTCACCCTTGATGGGGCCACACTGAGTGTATCCGTGCATAACACCAAGATTGAACCACAGGACGTCGAAGTTACACAACAACCTCGCACCATTGAAGTGACTGGACTTGCTCCAACAACAACCGAAGATGCCATTGTGAACTTCTTCGAAAACAAAAAACGCACCGGAGGAGGAGACGTTGAAAGTGTTGATTATAATCCAGACCGGGGAACTGCTGTAGTTACATTTACAACAGCTGACAGTAAGAAGAAGAATTTTCCTGAATTGTAGGGTCTTCGCCACGGTGATTTGTTTTTTTAATTTTAAGCAGTGATCAATAATGTTTACACTTATTTTGAATTTAAGGCGTTGGTGGCGTTTTACGACACGGCGAACATTCTCTTGATGGAGCAATACTGAATGTCAAAGCGATCAAGATGGGAACTGCCACACTCAAAGCAGAAGCAGACGAGTTCCGCACAATTCAGGTGACTGGGCTTTCTGGCACTACAAGCAAAGATGCCATTGTCAACTTTTTCGAGAACAAAAAACGATCCGGGGGAGGAGAAGTCGAAAGCATCAGTCACACTCCAGACCAAGGAGTTGCTGTCATTACATTCACAACAACTGAGAGTGAGTACAGGAAAACTTTTTGAATTATAATGTTGTTCGGCAAGGGTTCATGTTTTTATGCTTATTGTCATTTGTTACATTTTAAGGCATGGATGGTGTTTTACGACACAGGGAACATACTCTCGATGGAGCCATATTGAAGGTCAAAGCCATAGAGATAGGAAGTAACTTACCTGCAGCAGAAACAGACAAGTCACGCACCATTGAGGTGACTGGACTTGCCACAGCAACGACCAAAGATGCCATTATAAACTTCTTCGAGAACAACAAACGATCCGGGGGAGGCGACGTCGAAAGCATCAATCATACTCCAGACCAAGGAACTGCTGTCATTACATTCACAACTGCTGAAAGTGAGTACAGGAATATCCATCCAATTATAAGTTGTTTGGCAAGGGTTTTCTCTCAGTGATCAAAATTTATTTATTTAGTTATCTATTTATTATCTATGTATTTTATTTATACATAGTAAAAAAATTTATCAGGTACAATAAATTCTAATACTAACAATGACCAACATCCCAAAAGCTAAAAATCCTAATCCTAACATTATATTAACTTACAATATACCGCTTAAAAACTTGATTTCCATGAATGCCGTGTTTAAAAATTATGGTAGAGAAGACGTTTAAATTGATTGATTTAAAATACATTTTAAGATGCGGAGGGAGTTTTAAGACGCGGTGAACATACTCTCGATGGTGCCATATTGCATATCAAAACCATAAAGATAGGAAGTAACTTACCTGCAGCAGAAACAGACGAGTCACGCACCATTGAGGTGACTGGACTTGCCACAGCAACGACCAAAGATGCCATTATAAACTTCTTCGAGAACAACAAACGATCCGGGGGAGGAGACGTCGAAAGCATCAATCATATTCCAGACCAAAGAACTGCTGTCATTACATTCACAACTGCTGAAAGTGAGTACAGGAATATTCCTCGGAATAATAAATGTTTGGCAAGGGTTTTTCTTATAGTGATCACCATTTGATATGTTTGAAGGTGCGGATGGAGTTTTAAGACGCGGCTAACATACTCTTGATGGAGCCATATTGAAGGTCAAAGCCATCAAGATACGAAGTAACCTATCCATAGCAGAAACAGACGATTCACGCACCGTTGAGGTGACTGGACTTGCCACAGCAACGACCAAAGATGCCATTGTAAACTTCTTCGAGAACAACAAACGATCCGGGGGAGGAGACGTCGAAAGCATCCATCATACTCCAGACCAAGGAACTGCTGTCATTACATTCACAACTGCTGAAAGTGAGTACAGGAATATTCCTCAGATTAAAAGATGTTTGGCAAGGGTTTTCTTATAGTGATCACCATTTGATATGTTTGAAGGTGCGGATGGAGTTTTGAGACACGGCGAACATACTCTTGATGGAGCCATATTGAAGGTCAAAGGCATAAAGATAGGAAGTAACTTATCCATAGCAGAAACGGACAAGTCACGCACCATTGAGGTGACTGGACTTGCCACAGCAACGACCAAAGACGCCATTATAAACTTCTTCGAGAACAACAAACGATCCGGGGGAGGCGACGTCGAAAGCATCAATCATACTCCAGACCAAGGAACTGCTGTCATTACATTCACAACTGCTGAAAGTGAGTACAGGAATATCCATCAAATTAAAAGGTGTTTGGCAAGGGTTTTCTTATAGTGATCACCTTTGATATGTTTTAAGGTGCTGATGGAGTTTTAAGAAGCGGCGAACATACTCTTGATGGAGCCATATTGAAGGTCAAAGCCATCAAGATAGGAAGTAACTCATGCGCAGCAGAAACAGACGAGTCACGCACCATTGAAGTGACTGGACTTGCCACAGCAACGACCAAAGATGCCATTATAAACTTCTTCGAGAACAACAAACGATCCGGGGGAGGTGACATCGAAAGCATCAACCATACTCCAGACCGAGGAACTGCTGTCATAACATTCACAACTGTTGAAAGTGAGTATAGGAATATTTATCAAATAAAAAGATGTTTGGCAAGGGTTTTTCTTTTAGTGCTAACTATTTTATATATTTTAAGGTACGGATGGAGTTTTAGGACGCGGGGAACATACTCTCGATGGAGCCATATTGAAGGTCAAAGCCATAAAGATAAGGAGTTATTTACCCGCAGCAGAAACATACGAGTCACGCACCATTGAGGTGACTGGACTTGCTGCGACAACAACCAAAGATGCCATCGTGAATTTCTTCGAGAACAACAAACGATCCGGGGGAGGTGACGTCCAAAGCATCGATCATACTCCAGACCAAGGAACTGCTGTCATTACTTTCACAATTGCTGACAGTGAGTACAGGAAAATTTTTAGATAAAAGGTTTTAGGCAAGGGTTCTTTTCATTTTCAAACCCCGAGCGTTATTCTTAATGACGAGTGCTAAATACCCTCGAGATACTTTGATCGAGTGTTTTAGCCACTATATTGGATTGGTAATGAAGTGTTGTGTGCGAGTGGAAATGACATATATCACACAAATTCAATAAACAGGCCGCATTTCACATGCCAATTTACTCTATGTTTTGTCCTGAAGGTGCTTTAGAAGTTGTTAACAAAGGAAATCTCACTCTTGATGAAGCACAACTGAAAGTCACTCTGAAACAGTCCCGGTGTAAAGTTCATGTTGACACAAGGAAGCTAATTGTCAGGGGCCTAGATAAGAAAACTACAAAAACTACTCTTGGATGTTACATGGAGAAAGAAGGTGGGGCCGAGGTCCTGAGTGTCGATTTGGGAAACGAAGGGTGTGCACTAGTGAGCTTCAGAGAAGCCTATGGTGAGTTCATATCTTTTGATAAATGACAACTGAAATGGATGGCAGAATCCATAAATTATAATGTGTAATACTTACCATTTACGTATATGTGCACGATCCTTCGCAGTAAAGCACTATTTAAGCAATAGTGAAAATCAGACCTGAAAAAAATTCAGGCCTGTACGGGATTCGAACCACTGACCTCTGCGATACTAGTGCAGCGCTCTACCAATTGAGCTAACAAGCCAACTGGGAGCAGGCCATCAAATTAATTCGACATAAACCCGTAGATGATAAATCAAACAACAAACATATGAAATACATATATATGAACTGCGGTTATGAAACGTATATGTGCACGATCCTTCGCAGTAAAGCACTATTTAAGCAATAGTGAAAATCAGACCTGAAAAAAATTCAGGCCTGTACGGGATTCGAACCACTGACCTCTGCGATACTAGTGCAGCGCTCTACCAATTGAGCTAACAAGCCAACTGGGAGCAGGCCATCAAATTAATTCGACATAAACCCGTAGATGATAAATCAAACAACAAACATATGAAATACATATATATGAACTGCGGTTATGAAACGTATATGTGCACGATCCTTCGCAGTAAAGCACTATTTAAGCAATAGTGAAAATCAGACCTGAAAAAAATTCAGGCCTGTACGGGATTCGAACCACTGACCTCTGCGATACTAGTGCAGCGCTCTACCAATTGAGCTAACAAGCCAACTGGGAGCAGGCCATCAAATTAATTCGACATAAACCCGTAGATGATAAATCAAACAACAAACATATGAAATACATATATATGAACTGCGGTTATGAAACGTATATGTGCACGATCCTTCGCAGTAAAGCACTATTTAAGCAATAGTGAAAATCAGACCTGAAAAAAATTCAGGCCTGTACGGGATTCGAACCACTGACCTCTGCGATACTAGTGCAGCGCTCTACCAATTGAGCTAACAAGCCAACTGGGAGCAGGCCATCAAATTAATTCGACATAAACCCGTAGATGATAAATCAAACAACAAACATATGAAATACATATATATGAACTGCGGTTATGAAACGTATATGTGCACGATCCTTCGCAGTAAAGCACTATTTAAGCAATAGTGAAAATCAGACCTGAAAAAAATTCAGGCCTGTACGGGATTCGAACCACTGACCTCTGCGATACTAGTGCAGCGCTCTACCAATTGAGCTAACAAGCCAACTGGGAGCAGGCCATCAAATTAATTCGACATAAACCCGTAGATGATAAATCAAACAACAAACATATGAAATACATATATATGAACTGCGGTTATGAAACGTATATGTGCACGATCCTTCGCAGTAAAGCACTATTTAAGCAATAGTGAAAATCAGACCTGAAAAAAATTCAGGCCTGTACGGGATTCGAACCACTGACCTCTGCGATACTAGTGCAGCGCTCTACCAATTGAGCTAACAAGCCAACTGGGAGCAGGCCATCAAATTAATTCGACATAAACCCGTAGATGATAAATCAAACAACAAACATATGAAATACATATATATGAACTGCGGTTATGAAACGTATATGTGCACGATCCTTCGCAGTAAAGCACTATTTAAGCAATAGTGAAAATCAGACCTGAAAAAAATTCAGGCCTGTACGGGATTCGAACCACTGACCTCTGCGATACTAGTGCAGCGCTCTACCAATTGAGCTAACAAGCCAACTGGGAGCAGGCCATCAAATTAATTCGACATAAACCCGTAGATGATAAATCAAACAACAAACATATGAAATACATATATNGAATCCCGTACAGGCCTGAACTTTTTTCAGGTCTGATTTTCACTATTGCTTAAATAGTGCTTTACTGCGAAGGATCGTGCACATATACGTTTCATAACCGCAGTTCATATATATGTATTTCATATGTTTGTTGTTTGACTTACCATTTAGTTATTCTCATTTTGACCAACATGTAGTACTGTAGTACTAATGTAGGACTCACCCTCAAAACCACTTACTGGGTCTTTTAACTCTTCAACTAAACTTTACACTGGCCAACATGCAACATTTTTTACTCACTTTTTTTTATTTTAAGATAACTATCGAATACCCTATAAGGTTGGGCATTTGCTGCAAGTGAAAGTTTTTTCAACTGATTTCTTGAGAGGTCTAATGAGCAAAACACTCATCCTCAACTTTTAATATTTTCAACTAATTTCTACATTAGCAACTAGTATTTTATCGAGATCAAGTATGGAAAACTCTTTTTTCTGCAGATTATCAATTCCTTACAAAGAAAATTTCCGAAAAGCCGTTGGATGGAAAAACACTGTCAGTGGAGCAGGTCCCTGTTTGTCATTGCGTGCAAGTGACAGGGTTGAGTAAAGAAAAAACAACCGAGGACGGAATTCGTTATTACTTCGCGAGTGCTAAGAACAATGGAGGTGATGTTAGCCATATAGACCTCAATATCAAAGAAGGGTGGGCGTTGGTTTACTTTGAAGATCCAGAAGGTAAGAGAGTTCAACATTCTTAACACCAACATAACATCTGTACAACCCTTGATTTCTCACTTTAAATCCGGTTTACGGGTAAGAGTGGACATTTCCTTGCTTTTCGTAATTACAGTAAAACGAAACTCATTTGATCTGAATCACATAATGTCCTCTCAGCGTAGCTTTCTAACATTTGTTTGAGGCCAAACAGTGAGGATTAGGATTACTTTAATAACCATTGACAAGATATCTGTGGCGACTCATCAGCTGTGATTTGTAACACAAAACCGGCTAGAGAATATCTGATTACTTAAAAGGTTGAGGCTCTAAAGGGAGGGAAGGCTCTATCTTCATATCATTATCAAGGACCTTACAAGTTTAACATCTCCTATTTCAGTTGTTTTCAACGTTGTTCGCAAGAGCCATGTTCTTGACCAAGCAGAGTTAGATGTTAGAGCATATTACCCGTTCCTTGGAAAACCTCAGACGGATGAACCTGAGGTTGAACTGCTGCGAAACATTGATGTGGATGCACAGAAAGTGCGATTCATTCTAGAAAATTGCAAACCTGATGTGATCCAGATTGAGGACGAGCATGGAGTTACGATTGCCTGGAAAGAGGATCTTAGCAGCGTCGCAATCACACCCAGTAATAGGACCTCAGGGAACAAGAATAGTTTTGATAAGGCCTGTGAAGCCTTTACAACCTACCTGAATGAGTTTTCTAGAAGCACTTTATGCGTTCATCCAGAGGCCTGGAATGCTGTGCAGGAAAAATTCCGGAAAAATGGAAGTCATGCGAAGGAAAAAGTAAAAGCCACTTTTAACTCCGATAAGCACGAAATCGTTTTGATGGGGAAGAAGCAAGAGGTGGAGGCTGTTGCTGAAGACTTGGAGAGTTTGAGCTGCGCAATTGAGAAAAAGATGAAAATAGAAGCATCAAAAACGACCAAAGAAATCGATAAGGTTCCAGTCTTGAAGTTACAACTCTTAAGACACCTTGACTTTGAAAAGGAATTGGAAGCGGAGATTGAAGAAACGGAGGTGAAGATAATTCCGGAGGAGGAAAGAGTTCGCGTTCGGGGGCCTCCCGATTCCCATGTCAAGGTATCTGAAGCGATATGGAAAGCAGTTGCCAACGTGAAGGAATTGAAGCTTGACATGACACAGAACGCTCTAACTGTGCTCAAGAGTACGGCTACTCAGAAGTTCATAAAAGACCATTTTACAGCTAACAATTTACAAGCCTTCTTAATCTTTGATTCAGAGAGTGAGAGAAACCTAGTGATCATGGGAATGAAAACTGATGTTGTGGATAAAGCCCGCGATCTAGTGAAAGAATTGATAGTTGAAGACACCCTAAACTTAGATGAAGATCACATTCAGTTCAAGAAAAGTAAAAAGTGGAGCCAACTTATGGATGGCCTGACAACAAAGCGACGCGTTCTAAGTCTGTCTTTTGACACCGGCAACAAGAGGGTCTGTCTAGCAGGGTCAAAGGAGGATGTGTTGTTTGCTTCTGAAGCTGTTAAGCGCTTCCTGGAAGAAAATACCATTGTAAATAGCGATGTGAGGCTTTCAGCAGGTTGTAGGCGTTTCCTCGTGAGATACCAAGAACAAGAGCTTCGACGGATAGAAGATGAACTGGTGGAGTATTCTATCAAAATAAGGGTTCTGGCGGATAAAGATGACGGTCATGTGGTAGTCTCAGGAACAATGGACGGAGTCAACCAGGCTACAAAATTAATTCGAGATCTTGCTTCCAAAGTTGAAAACCGAAAGGTCTTTTTTGACAAACCTGGAATGCGAAAACTGCTCGATGGAAACAAGGGCAAAAAGATCCTAACTTTGCTAGAAAATGAACATAAATGCGTTATTGAGCACGTTGCTACGCAAAACGACAGATCAAAAGGGCTCACTGAGGAAGAGAAAGAAGCGAGCAGAAAAAAGAGAGAAAGCTTGAGGAGCTTTCGTACCTCAGAGGGAAAAAAGATTATGGTATTTAAGGACAGCATCTGCGATCGTGCTGTGGATGTAATTGTTAATGCAGCCAATTCAAAACTCAAACATAAGGATGGTGTCTCAAAAGCCATTGCTCAAGCAGCGGGAAAAGCCATGCAGGATGAATGTGATCGTATCATCATCAACCGAGGAGAGATTTTAGAAGGACAAGTAGTGGAAACCACTGCTGGGAAATTGCCTTTCAAGAAAGTCATTCATGCAGTAGGACCGCGTTGGAGAAAGGAAGCAGCACGACAAAAGTCCTTCGGAAAGATTCCTCAAGAGGAAAAGTTTTTGCGTTTTGCTGTAACAAATGCTCTAGATACTGCGAGTCGATATAATTCAGTGGCAATTCCAGCCATTGGCACAGGTGCCTTCGAATTTCCTCAAGACCTATGTGCTCGAATAATGGTTGAGTCGGCATTAGAGTTCTACAAAGAGAATCCAAGCTGCTGTTTGTCGGAGATACACTTTTCATGCCCTGAAGATGAGGTAGCTAAGGCTTTCGTCGATGTGATGGACTCTAGATTTCTTCAGGATCCCAACTATGAAACAGCTTCAAGCCCAAAAAAGAGGTCACAGTTCAAAAAGCCTAAATTCACAAGAAAGCCAAAGACAACTCCTTCCTCGGAAACAATCTCCTTAGAAATTCCCAACGGTGTGAAGACACCAGAAGGGTTAAAGGTGGTCCTTGTGACTGGTGATATGCGTAAAGAAAAGGTAATTTAAAAAATTTTCTTTATGAATAACACTTTGCTTATAGGTCATATCACCTAGGATGTTTGTGGCGTACAACTTGGAGACTATTCTCACAGCTTCTACTAAAGTCTTTAATATCAGTGTTTGTATATATATATACAATCTATATACATATATTTTGATGATTTATATATACATATATATATATATATATATACATGTATATATATACATGTTTATATATATCTACATGTATATATGTATGTATGTATACATGTATGTATGTATATATACATATATATGTATATAGAAGCAAATGGACTACTCAAGTTACGCACATATGGATTTTAATACAGCCTGTTTCGTAGACCAACAAAAGTTGATCCACTCATCAGTCAAACTCCATACACACTGATGCATCGTGACGGTTAACTCTAACACAGCAACGTGATCACATGACATTGTTTAAAAAATTCAAATCTTGAAAACTGTGCGCGCGCCGATAATAGCGTCAAGAATACTTGAGAATATATTTTCGCCGATGTCTACAATTGGATATTATTTCACTTCGCTTGTTTAAAGAGGCTTCATGTGGATAAGACAAGATAAAAAATTTCTCAGTGAGGCAAAAATTGCAACTTTTTGTGGCACTGGAATATGCTCTAGCCCTAGCAATAATTTTCCATGAAATCGAATAGACTTCCCTCTTCTCCTTGAGTTTCCACAGGTACTTGCTCAGCTCTGTGTCATTTCGCCGTCTCTCATGGTTTGAACGACATTCGGTGGTTGCGCCATCTAGTCTTAAAATCTGTCGCTGTGAGGCCGACGTACGTTTCAGTTTCTTCCCTGGTAGTGACTGTGGCTTGGTAGACAACCTCGCTTTGCAAACATTCCCCTCCTAAAGGGCATTCGTTTTCGTTCCTGCAGTTGCACAATCTTTGGGGGCGGCTTTCTTCGGACATTTTTGCGTTCCTGATTGTGGCTTTGTTATGCCCGTCTATGATCTGTTTCATATTGGGTGTGCATGAGTAGCTCAGTTTAATGGTGTTTCTATTGAAAATTTTCCTCAGTTTGTGGGTGACTGGAAAGCACTTGTCAATAAGGTTAATAAACGCTCTGCCAATGTTGGTCTGGACGTTTCTGTTAAATGGTGGGTTAAACCAAATTATGTTTCTTCGCCTTTTGGTTTGGTATTGCGGTCGGTGCGGTTCCGGTTCAGTGAAGTGCAGCTTGTATGTGTAGCCACTCTTGTGTAACGCGTCTTGGTAGGGAGGTGCGGCTTTGTTAAACATGTCTTCGTCAGAAGAGATTTCAGAAAGTCTTTTATTAACTGCTTCGGGGATGTTTCGTAGTATGCAAGGTGGGTGGTTAGACTTGCTGTGTACGTATAGATGGGTAGTTGCTGGTTTGGAATAGGGTCCGAATCTGCCGGTTATCAGGTCAAGCGTTAC